CAAATTGTTTGGTCTTGTTTAATTACTTTGTCACAGTTTCCCTTATTCTAGACTGGAGAGTTATAGTTAATTGCAAAATATGGTTTATTAATCAAATAATATGACGAACATTATTCTTCATTTCCTTTGGCTTCTTCCTAACTTTATGTTACAAGTTGTTTTTTATGCTTATAATCATATCATATTTATGATGTTTTTTCTCTACTTTCTCATATTTTTCTCAATTTTTTCTCATATTTTGTTCTCTACTTTCGTCTTAGTATTTTTTCATATACCCTTCTCTATATCTATACAGTTTTATATTTAATGGCTATATGTTATCTACACTTTCCTCACCCTAGTCCCAGCCCCATACCTATAGTGTGAGTATGTGTGTGTGTGTGTGTGTGTGCACATTTCCTCTAAAATTATTTAATCAAGATGGGATTACTGGTTTCATTATGGGGTTACTGGTTCAAAGTACATTAAGATTTTTATTGTTTTTGATAGTAAGTACTAGAATATTTCTCAGAAGGATTCTATTGAAGGGTTTTTTAAGCATAATTTTGATATGTGCACAATGACATTTTTTAAAGGTTATGGAGGCAGTGAGGCAGTTAGGAGACTATCATACTAGTATGTCCCAACTATGGTCCTATTTTTACTTTAGAAATTCCACAGGTCTGGCTTCTCACATTTGGGTAACTGGGTCAGAATATCCCATTTTTAGACAGTTACACCGTTATGCAATCAGCTGCTATACTCAGTCATCATAGAAACAACAACAATGCCCCTCATATTGAGACCGTGTCCCTAACGGTTGTCCCCTCTGTGTCTATCAACCTGGTCACTCAAGGTGGATCATTTTCTAAAAAGACTAGATCTTTGGACAGCAGCCTGTATGTCACCATCTTATGAAGAGAGGTGGGCTACTGCTCTTTTACCCACAAACCAATTTCCAAATTTTAGGGTTAAATTAAAATTCTATCCTTTGGGGGACAAATAACAACAGAATGTGCCTACTAACGAGAGTTTTTATAAAAAATCAAACGGAAAAATATCTGGGCAGGTCTGTTGCGTATAAAATTTTCCTAGGGGGCACTTTTCAGAAATCACTACATGGAAAATCACCAGAATGGAGTTTAGAGGTCTGGTCCCTGAGTCATTAGCAGGCAGATGGAGTTCTCAGTCTTGCGTGGTTAGTGGAAAGATTGGCGGGTGATGGAGCAGAAAGAGCAGGTTGGGGGTAGGACAAAGCATTATGGACAGCGGTGATTGGAAATAAGCCAAAATTGTCTTTAAAGCTCTTCCAGCAACTTTCCTTCGGTTACCTTTGGAAAATAATGTGTCTTCTTGAGGCAGAATAGAAAGGAGTCTTACCTGCCAATTAGAGCTGGCCGGTTTATTATTTAGCACCCACTAATTTGAAGCCCGTGGAGCTACAACCTTAAAGCTCACTTTTCTTTTGTGGCTTTCTGCCCATTCTTTCTTCTCAAGTTTTACCAAATTACCAGATTGAAACTTGCTGTGTGGATAAGGTCTCACTTTCTAAAGACTGAAGAGCTTCTGTGTGTTCAGGATCAAGCTCCCCGAGGCTTGCTAACCTGGCTGAACCAAACCCACACACAGCTCACACCTAGGGTCGGGGTGCTAAGACAGCCCCGGGAGCTACACACAGGCTGGGCAAACCCAAGTGTCCAGAAAGTGTTCTGCAACAAGATTGCAAGGCGTTTCTCTTAGAGGCACCTTCCTAAGAGCAAAGTGGCTAATATATGATTCGTACAAATTATGGGCCCGACATCTGTCAAATTCTCGGAGAGCAAGATACTGGTCTTGGACAACAGGCAAACCTAGTCTCCGGGCTCTTAACAAAACAAACAAACAAACAAACACTCCTTCCCAGGCTTATTCGTAAGCTGTCTCCTACTTCTGCTAAAGCATGAAGTAGGAGACAGCTTTTCCGAGCGCCAACGCCACAGCGATGGGCGCGGTCTCCCAAGCCACGTGGGGAGAAGGCCAGCATCCGAGCACTAACAACCCGGCCCCGCTAGGACCCGGCGGAAGCAGCATCTCGGCGGCGCTGAGAACGAGCTCGGCGGGACAGCCAATCAGAAGCCGCGTCTGCGGAGCGGGCCGCCGTCCGGATCCTCCCACTGGCCGCCCGGGGCACCGGTTATTTAAAGGCGCGCCGGCTCCAAGCTGTCGCGGTCCGGGGGCCTCGTCTGCGCAGCGCGTCGGCA